TTTTTATGCTAGTGAGAACCAAAACAATATGGAAATGAATGAGGGAAAACTGGATCCTACCACGTGATTTCCCGGCCAATAAAAATGTAGCGTTAAACGTTTAACGCAACCTTGTTGGAAGTCGCATAGGAAGTATCACTTCAAAATTATACTAAATTTAATTTATTAAACCATGAACATTGTAAAAATTTTACCACTGAACATTGATAAAAATTTTCATTCAAATTTGCCGCAAACTTAATATGAAAATAAGCGAATCACATTGAAATGTTGACTGGTAAGATACACAATTTTTAACGTCATTTTAAAGTATGTAATTTTACATGGCAAAATACAAAATTTCTGGACGGAAACAGATTCGCAGTACTGAGATTCTAACTAGGGTTGCCTCTTTCGGTGGTGAATGTTCTGTCATCTGAGCTACCGTCACTCTATGGGAACGTTTGCCCTTCTAGTAAGTTAATCTATATAATTTCATTAAAAAAATGTTTTTTTCTCTCACCTGATTGTAGATTTGCTGAAGACGGTGCCAACTTTTCCATTAACCGTGATGATCCGACATTAATACAGAAGACATTGGACGATGATTACACATTATTAAGAAATCTCGGACTTCGGGAAGCTCACTTCGCAAGGGCGGTCAGTACTCTTATCAATTTTTAAATTACAATATTCCATTTCGTATGCTTGAAGCAATGGAGTACGCGGAAACTGCGACGACGGAAGGTTAACTGTTAACCGAGCTCATAGCCAAATCCTGAATATTAGTCTCAGTATTGTTCGAAATTTAATCAAACACCAGTTTTAAAACATGCTTATTTAACACACGTACACAAACGAGTAGAACTCATTTCGCACAAGGACCCCCTTACTTGGATTCGAAGATCAACAAAAATCGAGACAAATATTTAAAACAGTTGAGAAATGAACTCCTACCATGTGTTGTACTGTTTAGAGGTCTCCCATACTGGCCAATTCTTTCGGAAGATTCCATTTTTATATATTTAAAGTGACAGTCAAAACTTTGTTCTTTTTTCTTATTCTTAGGTTAATAAGTTCAATGAGGAATTATTTTAACTGCTATTAAAAATAATTAATTAATCATACATTCAGGAGTCGGAGATCTAAAGTATGATATCCATGAATATCACACTTCGGAGCGATGAAACTCCGGCGAACCGCTTTCGGAAAAAAGTTTTTAGAAAGTGGTTGAGAACTACTACTTTCAGAAAATAAGTTATTTTTGACAATTTTTACAAACTACGCAATTGTAGGAACAAAATGTATGACCTTTGAATTATTTTTATTTAAAGGCGGGCAAAATAGATTGTAATTGAAATTTCTAAACCGAAAGTCGCGCATTAAAACCTAAAATTTGCTACTAGCAGAAAAATTACCTCGATAATTTTGAATGATGACCGAGCTGGTCACCAAAGGCGGTTAGCATTGAATAATGAAATAAGTGAAAAAGAAGATTTTTTGTATTTCATTTATTTATTTTCTCATCGAAAAATTGATAGAAAGGGAAAATGAATTAAATGATAGAAAAACTAAATGGAAGTTTGTCGTTGTTGTAAAAACCCATGTTGTTGTTGTTGTCGTAAGCCATTAAGCGATTGTTCTTGTTTTCCAGTGGCGCCATCTATAGCCAAGAATTTGACTTCTGCCACACCCATTTATAGGGCGGACTCATTCATTCATGCATCCATTCATTCACCGACGGATCGTAATTTTGGCCACAACCAGAGAACGATCCATCGCCAATTCATTATCCCCAGAAGTATAATTTTTTATGGAAACATGAATTACTTTTTGATCCGACAGATAAGTGCACCAGTCACCATTTACTACACGTAGAGTCATCGGCGGGCTGGATACTACTATTCTCACGAACGTGAGTCCAGCGCCCTGCTCAACCAGGCTATCTCAGCTTGTAAAATCCCATAAGAATAAAATATACTTGATTTTAGAAAAGTTTTCATTTATTTCGTACATTTAGAGAAAAAAAATCATTTCATGTCTTTTCACAGTTATTTGTGTAGTAATGTTTCTTTTTCTATCAATTATTTCATTCACTTATGTTTGATATCATTTATTTTCAGAATTTCAATGCCGCTCGAAGTTCTTTCTTGCCTACAGATGAAAAGAAAGAGTTGATTCAATATCTGAAGCGCGTCTATGGGACTGAGTAATATCTCCTAAAAGACCGTTCACACTGCATGCCAAACATTTGGGTATTCGGCGATGCGAATAAGAACCTGATTGGCCAGCGGAAAACTTGCCCATTAAACTCTTGTTCGCTTTTCAAAATTCGTAAAATTTTCACAAGAACTGAGGAATTCTTTGACGGGAATTCTGTATTTTTTTTATATGAAACTTTGTAGAAATATAACACAACTTTGTTGCAATAGTGAATAAAATTTATTTAATAATTAAAAAAAAGCATTTATTCTGCGCTAGAAAAGTAGGCCGCTTTTTAAGTCATTGGAATCAAGGATTTTCTTCTCAGTATTCCGTAATTATGGATATTTTCATTCTGAATTCAATTTTCTGGTTTTGGCGTTAGCAAATTTGAGGGCGGAAACAACCAAAAATATTGGGTTATCGATTTTCATTGTTTATACAAGGTACTTCAAAAAAAAGTAGACCAAAATAAGCCGGCACAGGAAAGGAATGAAACAAAAATCCTATAGGAACATGTATGAGGTCGCACGTGATATTCGGAGACCTTAAAGTGGTTGCAAATTATGCAACCATTTACCTTTTTACTAGAGCCACATAATTTTGATTCACTTTGATTTTACACTGACATATTCCGGTTAAGCCAAGAATTTAGCGTCATGCATCATAAGCGTCAAATTGTTCAAAATCACTGTTGGATTGAAAGTGTGCATTGTACGCATAGCATTTCAGTCAATGAGAGAGCGAGCAAAGCATGCGTAAATGTTAGATCGAGTATAAGACCAATTCGCGATTTCCCAATCCAGTGACCTTTACAAACCTCTTGGTATTTTCTTAGATATATAAAAAAATGGATTCTTCACTTTTTTTGTTAGTTCAGGTAGCAAATTTCGAAAGGTAAAAATGCTTACATTATATTTGATACCAACTACAACCGAGAGAAAGAGCACCGAAAGAGAACGAGTCGTTAAATGCCGCTGGATTGTAAATGAGCCACCAGTACACGTGTTTTTAACTCCTTTGTGTTTTTAAAAATATTATTATTTTGATTCTTATGATTATTTTGGATGAAAACTTTTTGCACACATGCTTGATTCCTGTTTTAACGCATTTTATTTAATATTATTTTAAACTACTATTGTTTTTAAATAGTACAAACATACAAACCATTTGGATATTTTATGAAGTGATGATGAAAAATGAATTATTATTTAAACTAACAATTAAAACTAATTTTATATTTTAAAATAAAGAATTATATAATCATTAAATTGCTGGAGTATTGGTCACAAATAGGTGAGTTAGAAAGAAGTTTTACGCGGTGTTTTATAAGTATCAACCTGAACACACATTTGTAAATTCTTTGGAAAATAGGTTCGAAAAGTAGGCACATAAAAGGTTTAAAAAACTTTAACTTTTTAAAAAAATATATTTGATAACTTAAACTGGTAAAGAAAAATGTTAAATAGTATGTAAAAAAAATTTTGCCATCAATTTGTACATTTCTCTGTGAAATGGCTTAAGTATCTTCCACTGTTACTAACTTTGCATTATGAATGAAATGATAGACTTTGCATGTATCTTATCCTGTTAACATAAAATTTAAATAGCTACAAAATTGAGTTAAGATTTCTTTAATATTAAAATTGACTTAAATTAACTCTAATGAATTCCATTGTACATTCATGCTCGTCATACCATCAAAAAATAAAGGTGCAATTTATTTCTAGTGCAAAGTAGATAGTGGGTCTGTGTGTGTACAAGGGCTTCTCAAGAGAGGAGGAGCAGGTTCATACCGGCGCACGCGCCGGTCGAGCGACCCAGTGAAGTCCCTCCATGGCGTTTATTAAAATCCAAAAATTAGATCTATTTCTTGTATTTCAATTATTCCTATAAAATGCTAAAAAAGGGAAACAAATAGCTCAATATATAGCATTATCTTGATTGCCTTCTCTCCTTATAAATACCACATTGCATAAATATTTTTTAAACGAATTTCAATAAAACAAACTTTAAATTCTACAAATAGCTTTTTTTTTAATACATAATTAAAGCAGTTATATGCACCTCAGTTATATGCAACAAGAAATTTTTTTTGGGGGGAGGGGGAGGGTCGTGTGAATAGCTTGAGAAACATTCAAATGGTCTAGTCACCAAGTCACATTCAAGTCACTTAGTAAAGTAAAATACATAATAGAATTCAAGGATTCACAATCAATAAAAAATCTATAAAAATTTTCAATAAAACAAATTTATTTTTCTACGTATAGCTTATTATTATTATTAAGTTAAAGTAGTTAATAACTAAAGTAGAAGAATTCAGTCTTTTTCTTCTCTCTTATATGCAGCAAGAAAAGTTTCTTTCCTGGGTGGGGGGCCCTGCGACATTCGTGTGAAGAAAAATTCCAGTGATCTTAAAATAAAATACATAATCGAATTTGGGGACTCACAATCTATAAGAAAATTGTTCTACTTTATAAAACAATTTCATTTCAACTTTTCGAAGGGCAGTTACACATGAATTAATATCAATCTACTAAATATGGAAGGAGTCACCTAGTTAAAAGTACTATTATTTGCCATTAGAGTGTATGTAAATTGTAAGCTTAATTTAAATGTTAATTTATTTGTTATTTGAGTACATTTAAGCTGTAAGTTAGAGTTTGTGTATCATCATCGGTTGCTATGGTGATATTATAGAACAAGTTTTTATTAAAATAAAGAGTTACGTTTTTTTTGCTGTTGTCAGAATAATTTTATTTCAGTTAAGAGAACGATAAAATATTGCTCTTTCTGGTAGAGTCTCCTAACCTGTCAACATAACATGAAGGAAGATGAAGTGTACTTTAATATCATAATTATTTTAGGAAGGAGGTGTATTTATAAGAGTATATTTATAAGGAGGAATATTTATGTGTGCTTATATACACTTGGGGTCATTTCCTTGAAAGTTAATCGTCAACATGCTAAGTTAACATCCATTAGACAGTAACGCCTACTTTCATCTTCCATGCTTTACTCTGCGGTGTGAACCACCTTCCATTTGGTAATTACGATGGTTAAACGGCGATCAACGAGAATAAAATTCAATTTTCAAATAAATAATGTCCACAAGGTTAAAATCTTAAGAAATAATCAAACATTTTGTAAATACTATATCTTTATTTAGACACTTACAACCAAAATAGTACAATGAAATATCGTAACTTTATAAAAGTTTTGGCAATCAGAGTCAGTCCTAGACCAATTTACTGTGTGTTTTCCTTGCATTGTTATTCATAAAGCCTAATCTATGATGTATTTTCTTTTTTATTTGAAAAAAAAAACATTTCTGAAAACATAAATTTTTTACTATTATATCTACCAGTATTTAACTCTATGAAATTTTATAATTTTTTAAAAAATTGATTGCGATGAACGTATTGTACATATTGTAAATACTGTAAATAGTTAATTATAATTGCCTTTAATTTTTATCAGACTTGTACTTTAATATTTGTACATAAATTTCTTAATTATCCATTACTTATTTTTGCCAATTTTCATATCTTTATCCCCAACTAATTCTTATATGTTAACATGATTTGAACTGCATATGCAGATATCCCGAGCCGTTACTGCCTCGTACTCCTCCAAATTTCCCGTCCTCATTACCTATGTCATTAGTCTCAGTCGCCCTAGGGCATATCACAGATAAGAGGTCTAGTGCCCGCTTGCGCGGGCAGGTACCTTGCCAAAATACATGATCTAGCTAGCGATGAACGTGATTTAAATTGTAACGTCCTTCATTTTCAAAGCCTTCTGCGCAACATTCACAGCGTGGGAGGCATGAATGATTTATCTAGCGAAGAAACTCAGGATCTTGGTCCTTACCCCGTGCTGTCTCAATTAGCTTGTGGGTGGAGAGTCATCGGAGAGAGAAGTACGTTAGTTTCTGTCTTTATTTTCAAATGATTTAAAAACCCTTTGCTTAGGAAACTATATGAAACTGAAAACTACATTAAATTTAGTTCCAAAAGAAAGTGTCATTGAAATTTTAAAAAATATTTATGACAATTAAATACGCAAAATATGAAGAAAGGGGAAAATATCGTAGTACATTATACAACTGAAACGAGGAGAAGGCGTAAGGGTCAAGCCATGGAACCGGTCTTCTCTCCAGATGAGCATTGCGATCGCGAATAGTGTAGTTCAAGAAAAGCGAGGGTGAGGCTCCTCCTACACTACCTCGACATCCTTCCAGAGCTGGCTAATCACCAGAAGATTTTCACTATCACCACCTTACAGCAGTTCCCGATCCGAGGGGAAAGTTTTCGCTGCTACCGGGGTCTTTAGATGTCAAGGCTTCGGCAATGTACAACAGCTTCTTCTCGCTCCATAAAATGTGCCGAAGAGCACTACTTCTACCGGTGCACGAAGAGTACAACTTCCAGCAAGACCATAATTAAATTTCTCTGGGTGCAAGGAGTGCCCCAGTGAAAAGCGACTATTGGCTGCTCCTTTACATCAGCTCATCGATTGGTCTCACCTCACTTATCAAGGAACTGAATAACCTTCTCAAGAATGAAGAAGTTGTAGGACTTCCTCAATCCCTTATTCAAGGAAATTCTTCTGACAAGTAATGCCTTTGTTTCTTGATCAACCTTACTCCTTCTCAAGATTTCGGACTTTTCACACGGGGAGCTCCGTTTCGATATTTTGAACTTTTTTCCCGAGTCTTAACATCTTAGAGGATCAGGCCGATAGCCCTCTGGGCTAGGTACCTCGTGCAATTTTTTCACACAAACATAAGCATAAGAACGAAAAAGTTGACAGGTATGATACGGAAGATTATGTGTGCTGAAGAGGATCAAGAAGGATTACACCAAATGGTAAGAAATGGGAACTGGGGGAAAGGGCTCACCTGGATTTTAAAACAGTGGAAAATGTGATGTTCAGGGAAAAGTTCCGGTTTACTTTAAACACTGGTTATCGTCAAAAGAACATTTTCATCTAAAGAACATCAAGGAATATAAAATTTAAGCAGAAGAAATATAAAATAATTTAGTTTTGTCATTTTTAAAATTAAAACGTTCTTGGACATTAAAATTAACATAGTCTTATACCTTAATTTCATTAATTATTTTTAAAAATTGAGTTGGTGCCATTAAAATTTAATGATATTATAAAAATTCGTTTTATTAAGTAGATAGTCTTATTCAGCGACATTAGAACGTAATTTATTATAATGTATAATTTTGCTATTATTTATTTTATTTGAAATCTAAAACTGTTGGTCTTAATTACGAAATTGAACTGGCTCTAAATGTTAGTAAACAGACGGCAGATGAGCCCAAATGACGTCTTTTTTGAAAATCACGTGACTTCTCATTTTATCTCAAAACGAGATTTTTTTTAATTTGCGCTGTTTGGAGAAGTAATAAGATGTTTTCTGAGGTTTTGAGTGATTCAACATGTATTGGGATTAAAAAAAAAATTATACGTAATTAATTGTCTTCAATAATTATCAAAAACGCCCACTATGCATTTACCTAGATTCCCAATGTAAAGTAACGCCCACTTTCTACTGAGAATTTTTCTCATTTGAGCAGCGCACAAAGGTAATCAAGTTTCGTTCCTTCTATTGCTGCAATAAGTGATAATTATGTGACAACAACAGAACGTCGCAATAATTATCTTCAGCAAACAGTTTAGCGTATGCAGTGGCCATTTGATCACCCGTCTCGAATTCTATCGAGTATGTTTGGGATGCTTTAGAAAGACGCGTAGATCCCTGCCACACTTTGCCGCCAAAAACAATGGCTTGCACTTGAGATGAGAGCTCACTTTTAGATCACCAATGAGAGGTGATCCTACTCCACACTGAAGATACTTTTTCAATTCCAAACTGCCACATCTGGTTTATTCATTTCAGACACATCCTAGTTTCTGTAAGCGCCACGCTTGTCTGGTTAATACCTTTTTTTATGTTATTTTATATATTATTATGTGTGGTAGTTTCCGAAAATTCTGTGCTTCCTAAGTTCTTTTGAGTTATGGTCATTGTCGTGATTTATGTTAACAAGTGTATGTTGATTGGAATAAATTTATTTCCCTTTTCTATTTGTATTAACTTATAAAATGGTTTATTATTTATTAAATAGAAAAAAAAGTAACGCTAGAGCTCATTGGGATCAATGGGTTCGTGGAGGTTAAGGTAGTAGTAATAGTAGTTCATTTACGTCGCACTAGAGCTGCACAATGGGCTATTGGCGATGGTCTGGGAAACATCCCTGAGGATGATCCGAAGACATGCCATCACAATTTTGATCCTCTGCGGAGGGGATGGCACCCCCGCTTCGGTAGCCCAACGACCTGCACGCGAAGTCGAGCACTTTACGGTAGCACAGTTTAACGAGGACCAATACCGCACACCCTCGGTCCCTACGCAGACTGATCCAAGTGGGTCACCCACCCGCACACTGACCGCAGCCAGTGATGCTTGACTTCGGTGATCTGCTGAGAACCGTGTCTTAACGATCAGTCCACTGCGGGACCGTGGAGGTTAAGGATCCTCCATTCCATGACCAGATCACCAATTGTGGTCAGCATTGAGCAAGTACCCTTTACTTCCTAGACCAGCTGGTACCCATCGATCTGAAACGTTTTAAGCCGACACTGGGAATCGAATCCAAGTTTTGTGCCTCACTCACTGACCCATCATGGCTTATTGACTAGAAAAACTATGCATGATTTTTTTTCCATCATCGACCGCCTACACAACCACTGGTATCATAGGACATCCTTTGTATCCTACTGGACATAAAATGAACCCAGACTGCTTCGGCCAGATTTGCAAGTGGCCCTCTTAAGTTACTTACTTTTGAGGGAGTCAGGTGGATCTTCCCTACTAATGCTGTGTTCAACCAGCTTCGCCGGAACATATTCCGGTTTGCCTTGGACTATGAGATCTTGTTATGGATTTTCTTCCTGTCCTGGAGCTTATCTGACATTTGTCAGATTAAGAGGATAAGCAACAACATTGTGTATGAAATCTTTTAAATCAATAATATATTGTGGAACACAGCCTATAGTGAAAATATTAGCAGCAAAATAATTTTTTATTGAAGTAAATGAATGATCTATGTTTTGGACAAATGAGGAATTTCCCCTCTCCCAAAAATATAATTTAGAGGCACGTCTGAAAGGCAGGATGTGATAATGTACAATAACAGACGTAACTTTTCTGTAGATCTTTTCGTACTTAGAAATTTAAAGGATAAAGTGATTTATAACAACTGCAACTCCTAAAAGGTAAATTTACTACTACTATTATAAATTTATAGAGCTGTAACAAATCCAGTTATATTGAAGAAATAGTTTTTCTTAATAAAAACACATTTATTTGACACAGTAGAAACCACGTTTTTGTTTTGGTTTATTAGTTTATTTAAAAAAAGAAGAATGATACTCAGAAGCCAGATTTAAAACACGGAATCAAATGCGATGTAATACATTTTCATGAAAACTATGTTCGTTTTTTTAAATACTCGTTTTGAGCCTGTCCATTACTTGCCATATCTGTCCTTTTCGATAGGCATTGTGTGCTGCGTCCATTTTTCCTAGCCCGCAGGTTTACTATACAAAAAGAATGTGAAGTGTTCACTGCGAGGGGATGCACTTCTGTCACGACTGTATGTTGCGATGCGTCGAGTTCTTCAACTGCCTCATGGTTTGTTTCGTTGCCTCTTTAAAAAGTGTGAGGCTGTTGGTGCTAAGATTAAAATTGTTTGTGAAATAAAAATGATATTGATTTTAAAGAAATATTTTATTGTATGAATTTAATTTAATCCAATACGTGAACTGTTTGTTCCATTTAGAATTTGCCGATAGCTTCTTTGGTGGCTTCAACAAGTTTGTCCCACAAGGCTCCCAAATCATCTTTGTAGGGTCTGAAAAACTCTAAAGCCTCTCGGCTCATTTCTGCGCTCAAGTCCTTGGCATTGGCGATGAACTGGAACACACACAAAAAATAGCTTATTTAACATCATATATATTCACACACACATATAATAAAAAATAAAAAAAAAAATCCCGAAAAATGGGGAAAAAACAAAAAATCCGGAAAATAAAAAATACAATCTTTTCATCAGCTCACACGATTATATCCACAAAAAGGAGTGCTTTCATTTTCCATATATATATATATATATACAATTTTCTAAGTAGTTTTGCACTTTTGAAGAAAAGCTCGAAACAATAAAGGGTTATCCATAAATGTCACCTTGTATTATTAAGCAAGATTTATTAAAAATGAAACTGGCATCGCGAAGCATGGGTGAAAGCCCTTATATAGCAAGACGGAAAAGAGAAAAACCTGGTACGTAAAACATTTCATTCCAGCATTTTTTTCGAAAAAAATGCAATATTCGTAACTNATACACAATTTTCTAAGTAGTTTTTGAACTTTAAAAAAAAAGCTCGAAACAATAAATTGTTATCCATAAATGTCACCTTGTATTATTAAACAAGATTTATTAAAAATGAAACTGGCATCGCGAAGGATCACCTCCCCATAAAAGTATGTTTTCTTTTGCATGTTTTCTTTCTCTATGCCATCAAAGTTTAGTTTCCGGACGATTATCATTTGTTATTAAATTTTGTCTTATAATACAAAATATAATTTCTGAACAATCCAAGATCGTTTTGAGCTCTTCTTTTCGAAAATTACAAAAACTACTTAGAAAACTGTTTGAAACTTATTAAATTTTAAAAATATTCAAAGCAACTTTTTTTATTAGTTGCCAAATACAAAATAACGAAAAAACATTTCGAAATTTTTTCATTGCATTTGCAGTTTAAAAGAACTAGCTTAAATACTCGGAACTTGCGCAGTTTTTAACGAATTTGTTTTTAAAAAATTTAAATCGACAGTTTTGTGACTAATCAGAAATTGATCATAAAATTTTGTTTACTTCCATTGAATACCTATAAAGTTATAACGAGAAAAAGTAAGACAAAAAAAATTAATTTTTCTCTAAAAATGTCCATATTTCCAGTAGGCTTCGAACGGCTATGAGTTGACGACTCACTTGTCACGTTGGTTGCCAAATTATAAAACTACTGTGAAACGCCTATCTCTTGGCATATTTCAATGGGATTTTTGACCTGAGAGCGTAACAATACAATGAAATTCGTATAACATTACATAAATGAAACAAAACTACAACTTTAAATTAGCTATGCCAACTTGCCGTGGAAAATTATCTGGGCATTGGAACGGAATATTTGACAAGTTACTTAACTTTTTTATTGGCAACCGCAGATTTGGCGGCATTTTCCCCCTAAGATGAAAATTGTATCCCATTTTGTCTCAAATTCTTATAAGATCAGATAATGTAGCATTAGATTATCACCGTCGTTGAACAGCTGCCCCAATTTTACGACCACCAATGTTTAACTCCGTAGCCTTATAATTTAGGACACAATTCAAAAGACAAGGGAACTCCTGGATTGGGAGAAATTTGTCTTTGTGGAGGACATTTTGGTGGAATTAACCTGCATTTGAGTTACATGGAAAAGAAAACCACGAGGAATTTCCACGGTTAGCTTGACGGCAGATGGATTCTAACTCATGATTCGTCTACCACTGAGGATATTTTACGTCAGCACTGTGGTAGGTGCAAGCCGGTTGCGGAATTCGTATCAACCAGCAATCGCTGGAATTCGAACCCGGTTCACCTCATTTTAAAGCGAAAACTGTATCCCCTGAGACACCACTGCTCATACAGCATTAGAGTAAATTTTTAAATATTAAACAAATTAGCCAACAAGCACTTTTCATTTTCGTCCAGTTGTGTTTTTTAACTGCTTTAAAGTTTTGCACCATTTTCAGAATTAGCACTGGGGCGCTTTCTAAAGATATGCTAAACCTGACTCAATAGTCATGAGAAACTATTACAAACTTACAACAGTTATGTAAACAGCATACTATTTTCAACAAAGTATCATTTCAAGCCGTGATAGCTCATGGGATATGGCATTCGCCTTCGAATGAGGTGGACCGGGTTCGAATCCCAGCGATGGCTGGTCGATATGAATTCCGCATTCAGCTTGCACTGACCAAAGTGCTGACGTGAAATATACTCAATAGTAGACGGATCATGGGTTAGAATCCCCTTGCCTTCAGGCTAAGACAGGGAGGTTCTCGTTTTCTTCCTCTCCATGTAACGCAAATGTGATTTAGTTCCATGAAAAAATCCTCCACGAAGGCAAATTTCTCTCAATACTTGATCCAGGAGTTTCTTGTCTTCCGGATTGGGTTCTAAATTGCAAGGATACATAGTTAAACACGAGTAGACGTAAGCCCAAAAATTGGGTCGGCTGTTCAACGACGCTTATAAAATATAAAGCATATCGTTTCATGCGAACCTTCTAAAAAGAACTTACTTCCATGGCGATGGCCTTGATGGTTCCGTGTTTCTCCTTCAGTTTTTCAATGCCTTTCCCCCACATGTCCTTCACCCACCGTCCAAACTTCTTACTGTGATCCTGAATCTTGACGCCGATGTCCTTGAAGAAGTTCTTCACTTTGTCCCATGCCTCTCCCCTCATCTCCACTCCCGACTGATGATGATAGTCGAAGAGGTGGCCGATGATCTCCTTCAACTCCACATCACTCAACTTCTCCACTAACTCCTTCAACTTCTTCACGATCTAAAAAGGGAACAAAAATCCGTGTCATTGTTTTCATGCAAAATATATTTCGTATCTGAAAATTACTGTTTCACTTGAACCGGGATAGTCTGGTTGGCAGGACACCGGACGGGAGTTCGTGAGAACGAGAGTTTGAATTCAGCCGGCCAAAAACTCTTCGTGTTGTGAATGGTGACTGGTGCACTTTAAATCTGTAGGGGTCACAAAGTTCTCCGTGTTTCCGTGGCAAATTATATACCTCTGGGGATAATGAATTGGAGATGGATCGTTCTCTTGTTTTGGCCAAAATTTCGATTGGTCGGTGAATGATAGGAAGTATAAATGGAACCGTCCTATAAACGGGTGTGGTGTACGGGTGTGACAGAAGTCGAATTCTTGGCCACAGATGGCGCCACTGGAAAACAACTACAATTGCAACCCCTCTGCCTTCATGGCCGACAATAACAACAACAACAACAGTGTCTCACTTAATCAAAGTCCTAAAAAAAGGCCTTTATATATTAATATTATGAAAGACGGCAACATCAAATTTAGAGAGAAAAAAAAAGATCTGACTGATTTTGTGGACATTTGACATTTTAATCTTTATTCTATAGCGCAAGCAAAAAAAAAACATTGATTAGCCTTTTGGTCTAATTAATGTTAAAACACGTTAATCACATGTTATTGTTGTTTTCGTAGCTTAGCGTCTGCCTTAATTAATTTGCATATTTTAAGAATAGCCCTCGAACCACTACGATTAAGTCTTAGTATATGAATTGATCATTAGTTAAAAGGTTCTTCAAATTCTATTTTTTTTAATTTTATCTTCGCACTGTAAATACCAGTCACAAATACTTAAACATTTCATAACTCAGTCAGCAAGCATTCATTTTATTTTGTGTCGATAGAGTATGTGTTTCATGCATAATCATTTTGTTATTTTGTGCGGGTTTCTTTTAAATTGCAAGTAGTTTCTTTTAAATTGCAATTAGAAACTATACTTTCTAATCATCAAATTGAAGGAGGAAAAAATATGAAAGATATAATTTATTTTACCTATCTAACTGAAGTGTCAGAGAGAATAACGGTTCTAACTCTTTCATGTTAATCTTTGGAAGAAATACGAACCTAATACGAACGCTGATAAGTTTATGAGGAACTGGTTTAGATTTTTGAGTCCTTTTTATGCATGCGAATGTATGCTATTCAGCCTAATGACCGAACTTTAAATTTTATGGTTGAATATTTATTTTGAAACACTTTCAAATCTACTGTGTCAAATAAAAAGGTTTATATCATTAATTATTAATGGTAGACCGAACTATTTTGTTTCCAGAAAATTAATCCAGATCCTGAAGCACTTGGGCAATCATTTTTTTTTCTTTTTCGAATAAAGAATCGTCTTTTTCTAAAATGATACTTTTTACAAATGAGTTAAAACGGAAAAGTTTGCATTTGCTTTGCATTCGCACAAATGGTTAGAACTGCTATTTAAATTGAGTTAAATACTTTGAAAGCTAATAAAGTTTCAATAGGTTACAATAAGTTCCAAGATATTTCTAAACGACATAAACGGATTCCAAAAACTGTAAGAACTATAAATAGTGTCAGTAAGAAAATGTTTCGATGTTTATTAATTGATTATTAATTTTGTTTCAGTTTAATTTTTTAAAAGGGGTGGATGGATTATATATATGTCGAACAAATTTTAGCCAATCCTGCGAAGATTTTCTCTTAAAGTAATTCGAGGTTACAAACGGTAATTTATGGTAGTTTGTTAAAACCGTTTTGGCATCGAAAGGAACACCACGTGACGAAGATTAATGAATGGACTGCGATATAATGAGCGGTTTGAAAATCAATCTTTATTGACGTCAATACTTAATCTTTCCAAAACGTTCTGTTGATGTTTTAGAAGTTAATTAATTTTACAAATATTTTGTTTGATTTCTATTTTAAAAAGATTATAATCATGACGAATGGTGGATATGATTAAGAAAAAAACAGAATATTCATAGTTAATGTATTAATACCTAAGTCGAGTTTTTTTTAAATAATATTTTCTAAAGTCAAATTTTCTCAACTTTAATAGGAAAACTCGATAGTTAAAAATACTTTAAAGTTAGGCAATCTCTTATGTTTTAGATAGGTTAGAAAGTTAAATATTCTCTCTCATGTATTTAATCACGGAATAAAATATTTTTTTTAAAAATCTAATAATAAGTAAGTTATATGTAAGTGAATGTTTTAGATCAAATTTTTTAAAATAAAATTATCTTTTAAGAATTATTGAAGGAGCAAATATTTAAGAATATCTGCCAACAACACCGAAGGTAAAACCAGTCTAATGAACATTTGAATTCTTCTATATTCTAAATATATCCATTCAGATATAGTTTCGTATAGCTACTTTAAGTAAGAAATGATATCTTTTAACTGGAACAAATTTAGAATTATTTCATATTAACGAGAGGATTTGTTCACCAAACTCATTTATCTTTGTTTCTCCCCCTTAAAAGTCCATATTTCTTATTAGACAGGGTGATTCTAAAATGCTGGACAAAATTTTAGGAAGTGATAGTACACACCCAAGCAAACATTTTTTTATCAGAGAATGCATGGTCGAAAACAAAACGCAAAGGTGCTGGCGCATTTGGAAAGTTGTTTGATGCAAACGTGAAAGCTCCATTCCTGGTTGCGAGTTACTGCGCTTCGTTACTTGTCGCCAAGCTTTCGGCCGCTGCAGGGAAAGTTCGTGGTATGCCCTATCTTTTCTTCGCCGTTGTACTGCGTGCATAGCCGCTGCCGGCCACTGTTTTGAGCACTTATTATAATCACATGCCATTAAATTTGCTTTTATAACTTAACTTCATCGTTCTTTGTGCGTTTTTGCCTCATATAAGAACATAAACTTTGACGCCCTCTAGCGGTTTTGCGTTTTGTATTCGCCCATGCATTCTTTGATAAAAAAAAATTGTTTGCTTGGGTGTGTACTATCACTTCCTAAAATTTTGCTCATCTTTTTTGAATCACCCTGTATATAAAACTCTAATGATGATGGCGCAGTTTTCCGTTGTTGTCCGTGCATTTTTAATGGCCGGAAAATCACATGGTAGGATCCCATTTTTCCTCATTCATTTCTATATTGTTTTGGTTGTCATCCGCATAAAATTAATATGAGTCATAAAAATATTGATTTTATGCAAGCATTTCTATATTCCTCATTTAAAGATATTTTCCTGTAAGGCTATTATTACGTTTTTAATTCAAGAGTTCAAAACTAAGAGAATTGTTTTGTTTTATTATTATTGTAATGCAATTCTGAGCTACATTTTAAGATAAAGTTACTTAGAAAGGTGGTCTAATCTTACGAACCATTTCACAATTATTATTTTTGTGCAAATAACATTAATGTACTGTTATAAATTACAGTTAAAAAGATGTGTTAAATGATTTAGAACTCAACGATCAAGCTCAATGAGAAGCCAGCAAAAATAGTATTTAACATATCCTGCCTGTTGGTAAGTGAAAATATTAAATTACTGTTGTGAACTCATCAAATTTGTTTGAACATTATAAATGTTATTTTAAATGATGATTACTTAGAAAAATTACTTCTGTTCACCAATAGATCTAAATATTTATAATACTAACAGATAATAATATTTGGGAGTGGAGGCACAAGCGTAAGGAAACAGAATTCCTTTTAGTATGCAGATATGCTAAGTGAATAATTTCATCTTTTGTAAAAAAGACTGTTTTCTGCCAAGAAACAACAATTATTGCGAAGCACCTGGTATTTCCTGGAGAGTGGTGGCAAACAAGGGGGCTTAGTCCCCTAGTCTCAAAATAAAAGATCATTTTCTTAAAAATATATATAATGATTATAATTTTATCTAAGATCATTTTGCTGAAATGTTAACCGTAACAGAATAAACGATTATTTGGATTTAAAAAATAAGCAACAGTACCAGAAAAAGTATTTAAATTTAAAGCATAGAATGCGTGACACAATAAAAAATAGTAAATAGGAATTAAATTTTTTATTTGTTAACAATCTGTGACAATAAATTTATGCTGTATAACAATTCTAATTGGAAACGTTTTTTATCTCTCTTAAGTCTTTTATAGTTTTATAGAAACTTGAAATAAATATTATGATCTAGCAACATATAATATCTTTCTCTTTTTTTAAAATTTTATATTCTCATTTTTTTTCTTTTAGTTTTGGCATTAAGTCAAGCTCGAAATAATGACATACATATCTCGATAGAGTTGTGATTGTCTTGACAGCAATGGATAAATAATCCTAATTCAAAACTTTAAAAGAGAAAAAAGTTCGAAAAAAGCACTAAACTGCAAAAACCTTCGACGAAATGGGAATTTTGAAAAAAAAAATTATATTCGTTTTAATTTTATAATTGAAAAATAATTTTTCAGCAAGCCAATTTTCTACTCAGTAGTTGCATTCATCTGGCAGTAAGATCGGCCGAAATGGTTTTAACAGTTAATAATTCTCTATCTAATAATAAATTATTAAATGTTTTTTTACTATTTTATCCTACTACTTGTATATTTTTCTACACACATTCCTTGTGGGTAGCGTTCATGGTTGTTGTGTATTTGGGTGATCAAATAAAACAAATTTAGGCTTCAAATTATATTGTTTACTTGTTGGAAATTGGAATAAAAAAAGACGGGAAATATGGCTGTATAGAATTGGCAGAGAAAAATGGAATCCGAACGATAGCAGTAGATCGTAAAATGTAAGTTCGAAATTAATTTAATTATTTATTTGTTACAAATTTTGCATGATATTATTTATTAACAGTGAAGAGCAAATATGTTTCCTCTTTTTCAATGAGAGGTTTAACAAATTCAATCGCATTGAATATATTTACCTGAAACAAAAGAAAATAAACTACCAATATTGTTTTTAACTAAAAAACTAATTTTTTTGTGAGAAAGCTTTAAATATAAATTTTAATAGCATTTAAATATTTAAGCGTAACATATCAAATATTTTTCAAATGAATACATTTAAAACGTTTTAATAAGATGATCTAGTTCCTATTTGAACTCTTTAGTTTTCTTATTTTCTATTATTTTAAATATTTTAATTTTGTTACAGAATTAAATTGGTTATATTTGAATATATAATTGAAATAAATTGGTTTTATTTAGTATTCAGAATTTGAATAAGAATTCTCAAAGAAATATTTATTAATATTTGAATAAATCAGAACTCATCTATTTTGCTATTAAATGCGACAAAGCTCCCATTTACTAATTATTGGCTGTCTCATCACATGCTTTAATTATAAAGTATATAAATAAAACTGATATTATGTTAATTATATCTAACTATATTCACCCCTATGAACCTCATAAGAAAACCGACTTCAAAAGATTTCAAAGAGTTCAGAAAAAAATGTTATAGCAAAAGACGAAATGAGGAAGTTTTAACTTATAGATAACGCATTATTTTCCCTGAATGGAATAAAAACAAAATATGTAATTCCAGAAAGAAAAAATCGTAAATATTTAAGTTATCTTTAAGAATATGAAAATATTAATCAATGAAAAGTCGAGTTTAAGAGTAGAAACTCAGTATTTCCACATTGAAAGTTGCAGTCACTAGAGAGTTACAGTTACAGGAATGTCGCTACTTTATCGAAGTATCCAGGGCTTTAGACTCGACTCATTTTATATAAAATTTATCTTGAAAGGCGTTTCTTATACAATTTTTTTAAAGGAAAACTCTGTGGTTTATTTAGTGTTATTTGAAAAGCATCTAGTTTTTATCTCCTTCCTTAAAAAATTTCTTGCAATACATGTTAAAGATAAACTTTATATAGAATGAATAGAATGCTTGGAAAATTAACTGAGACTGTATCAACTCAATTCTTTTAAGTTACGCGCAATATTTTATTTCATATTTTTACTGCAAATCCATAGAAAAGTTGCTTTCTAAAATTTTTAAAATTATTTTATTTTATACATTTGTTTTGGGATGCACGAAATCTTCGAAAATAATTGCATCTTATTTTTCCCGTGAAACACGTTTCAAAAGCAACAAAACTATAAACAAAACGTAGTTTCGAACAACTTTAAAAATGCTAATTGCGTGGCGTAGCACCAATTCACAAGTCAATCGCATGTTGATGACTAATTGACCACTGAGATCCTAAACGTTTACAATTTTATTCGGTAAATGTTAAACTAATGCGATTTCAAATATTTTTCCTGAATGGAATAATTAAATTTTTTAAGCGATTTTTTGGATCGGAAGCTAAACTTGTTCCACGCAGTAGATGCCCAAATTTTAGAAAACTGGCATAAACGGTCCTGGATTTATAGGAGAATTATAGTTCGCGTCAAGAATAGACGAAATACTAAGTAAATGAAAAAAGTCGTAGTAAAAATAAAACAAAAAAAAAATTGTGCTTAAAAAAAAATAGAAGATATACTAAAAATATCAAGGTCTTCAGAAAGTTCTTTAAAAATGTTGTAAAATCAGTATAAAAATAAAAAATTTTTTAAAATTATTTTTACAAGTAATTTCATATGGTTTCATAGAAAACTGAATCATACTTTAAATATTATATCATTCAACTGTAATATTCAGAATTTTATAGATATATAATAAACGAGACGGCATTTCAATGATGAATATCTAGCAATGTAGAATCATCATGATTTATAACGTAAAAGATTATTTTTAACTCTTTTTTTAAATTTGCTGTATTGGGGTAAAGAAGAACAAAGAAAATAAAACTAAGAATTTTTAAGGTTTAACTGCGAAGTTTTACGTTTTATGAAACCGAGTTTACGATAACCTTTGAAAGCTAGATAATTAATGGGCGGGATAGCCGGATTGGTAGAACATTGGATTTACGCTCGCGAGAACGTGTATGGGCTTGGCAGAAATCGAATTCTTGATCATAGATGGCACTACTGGAAAACAAGAACAGGCGCACCCGTTGCCCAAATGTCCTACGACTAAAACAACAACAACAACAACTGGATTATTAGTATGATATGAAAAATCAAGATCTGATTAAAAAGTAACACCAATAATAATAAAATAGTTTCAAGTAGTATTGCTAATTTTATATGAAAATATTAAATGTTAAGATTTAAGTGTTAAGATTTATATGTATAAATCGAACATTGATAAGTATCGGTCGAACATTGATAAGTATCGGTCGAACATTGATCGTATAAGTATCAATCGAGCATGCCTGTTAATGTCTCAAATAGGATTCGAATCCACTGCCATTGATTTTTCAGTTTGACACCCTGACCACTCAACCACAGACCTGCCCCCCTGATTTGAATAGAGCTATCTTTTTGGATAAAAATTACAAATAATTCTACTTACTTGGCTTTCACCATATTTGTTCAAGATGTATTCTCGGATTTTCTTTATGTTCTCGTTAGAGAGGATCTGGAAAGTATAAGCAATTCCCATGTAAAGCCAATTTTAACAAGGTGAAATGTAAAAAGAGAGAGAAATAAATGTGCGTTGATAATTACCATACACGAAAAAAAAAAATGAAATTTTTTAATAATTTTTTTCGTATTCTTTCTCTAATGAAAATTATTTACACTAAATGGATAAGAAAGCTGAAGGAAGCACACACCTCCCAATGTGGTTAAGGTTCAAATTCCAGCAATGGGTGGTCGATTGGTATTCTGATTATGACTGGCACTGACCACAAATCGTAGAGGATTTTAGCGGTTCTTCATAACGCAAATGCGAGTGAGTTATATGGAAAAGTTCTCCACTAAAACTAAGTTTTTTCAGAGACTTGATCCAAGAGTTTCTTTGTCTTTTGGATTGGGATCAAAATTACAGCGTTATGGAGATGAAAATTGATAGCCGTTAAACTCAAAATTGTATCACTTTTTTTCAATACCAATTATAAAGTAAAGTCTCTAAAATTATTTAAGTTCAAAATAACTTATGAGTTTACTTACTAGTAAACGACTTTTGTACTCGTTTGCGAATTGTAAAACTCTTTTAAAGGACGATAAGTAACTATCGTTAATTATTTTTTGTATTAAATGTAACGAAAAGTTTGATGAGATTCCATTTAAAATTAAGACCATTTTGAGCACATAATATCCGTAAAACGCGGAAAAAAAAGAATAAAAAATTATCATCTTATTTATATGTAAAAGGGTTCCACAAATTTTCTAAGCCGAATGCTTAAATTACTTAAGAAATAAAAGTTTTGAAAAGAGGCACACAGGTGAAAAATTTACTTTAAAATAAAAAAATCCAAAAGAGGGAGAAGTTTGCCTTCGCGAAGAACTTTTTTGATGGAACTAATCCACATTCGCTTTATATCAAGAGGGTAATCACGAATCCCTCCCACGTTTAACCTGATAGCAAGAAGGCTCTAACCCACGATCCATCAACCACTGAGGATATTTTACGTCAGCACTGTGGTCGGTGCAATTCGTATCTACCAACAATCACTGGTCACCACAAGCACTCTATCCCCAGAGACACCATGGCTCTCATAATACAATATGCAAAACATTATAAGAATAATATAAATTTTGTCCAACAAATATTTTACACGATATACTCGTAGTTATTTCCAAAGAAATTTATTGCGTGCCTCTAGATATAAAAACGCGTTCTGATTAATTAATTATAATCAATAAAATTATTTATTAATTATTAATTCATTTTTATTTTCGTTTTCTTAAATTTTCAATAGTGTTTATTAATAAAGTTTTTGTTAGACGCAGAATATTTTAAAAATTCTTTAATAAATTTAAGTTATTTAAATATCAGGGTTTAATTTTTAAACATCCTATAAGAATGAATCTAATTTACGCCCAATAAAAATACACTTGGAAAATTTTTTGATAGTGTTTCGATACTCGGTGACAAATTTTATAGAATAACTAATGTTGAACCAGGAGATTCATGGATTATATTTGTTGTCCTCAATGTTACGATTCAATTATCCTTATAATTTTCAGTCTATAATAGATGAAGTAATTCTTAGATCATAAAAACGGCAAATTTGCTTTGAAGAATAATTTTTTCTATGAAACTAATGTGCATCACACAAAGAATAATAAGAAGGAAACTTGCCATGGTAAACCCTATGATAAAGGAACTTTAATCAGAATGGTTATTGACCCAAGTCAAAATTTTTGATGGCTTTCCATTGATATACTAATATAATCTTGAGGGTAATCATAAATAATTCCGTCATTAACCATTATATGTTTTGATGGTAACCGACATAAGTAACCATCACCTCAATGTAGGAATTCGGACTGATTTATGATGGTCGAACGTAAGAATAACAACTTGTTTTGATGGTTTGCTCATGTTGAACCATTAGAAATTTCCATCATAGTTTCTTAGAAATCAACTGTCGTAACGATCATGACCACCATCACCTCAATGTAGAAATTTGGACAGATTTATGGTAGGCCAACATTTGCGTTACATGGAGAGGAAAACCACGAAAACCTCCCACGGTTAACCTGATGGCAAGAAGGCTCTAACCCCACGATCCGTCTACCAGTGAGGATATTTTACGTCAGCACTGTGGTCGGTGCGAGCTCGTTGCGCAATTCGTATGGACCCGCCATGGCTGGGATTCGAATTCGGTTCACTTCATTGGAACGACAGAAAATTGTTCTTTCAGATAGAGTTTTGCACCCACGATATTAGTGGTTCGCCAAAACATTCTAAATGCTATCAAAAGATGTCTTTATGGCTTTAATAAAAATTAAAGATTAAAAAAAAAAAAAAAAAAAAAAAAAAAAAAAAAAAAAAAAAAAAAACATGCGACCTTAGCGTATTGCATCATAAATAAATCTTCCTTCCCTGACAGATTATATATAGATGTACATAAAAGACGGAAAAAAAACTGGACGAAACACGAAAAAAAAGAGAAAAACTGGCAAGAGCTAATTTTACATCATAAAAACCAGCTATAAATGAAATTGTTTTAATCCCAATTTTTCCTCTATTCCGTCTTATTTTCAATACCGGTCTATTCACAAATATATAACATCAAATGACTCTAAACCACGTTTCTCATGATATGATCTAATCTAAATTTCTTTCCTGCTAATTATATAGCTTTCTGCATCCTGTATATAAATTCTGTTTTGAAACAAATTTCAAAAAATATGTAATAATTTATGTTCAAAAAATAAATAAAAATTATTCCACTGATAGTAACATTTAGGTTAAGTTAGTTGCTTAATTTGAGTGTTAGTGCTTAATAAATAATGTGCTTAATAAATAAGTGTTAGTTGCTTAATTTGAAAAAAAAAGTTTAATACCAATGCTTTAGATTCAGAAGATTTTTCCCTGTTTTAGAATAATTATTGTAATAGAAGAACTGTATGAATCCTTATAAAAAGAACATTTTTTTACCTCCAAAGTTTTGAGTCTTAAAAAAAAATCAAGATAACTAACGCAATATTTAAAAGCAGTGCAACAAGATTCATTAAAAAAGCAAATATATTTTTGGAGTTGTTGGAGTGATTCTGACCTAGTTTTTGTTGAGAAATATNATATTTAAGAGATGTTAAATTTAATATAACTTCAATTTGTTAAAGAATTTTTTAAATATTCTACGCTTAACAAAAGCTTTATAAATAAACACTATTGAAAATTCAAGAAAACCAAAAGAAAAATTCAGAAATAATTAATAAATAATTTTACTAATTATAATTAATTAATTATAATTAATTAATTATAATTAATTAATTATAATTAATTAATTATAATTAATTAATTATAATTAGTAAAATTATTTATTAATTATTTCTGAATTTTTCTTTTGGTTTTCTTGAATTTTCAATAGTGTTTATTTATAAAGCTTTTGTTAAGCGTAGAATATTTAAAAAATTCTTTAACAAATTGAAGTTATATTAAATTTAACATCTCTTAAATATCAGGGTTTTATTTTTAAACATACTATAACAATGAATCAAATTTACGTGCAATAGAAACCCACTTTAAAAAATTTTTGTTAGCGTTTCGATACTCTGTGACAAATTTTTATCGTATAACCAATATTGAATTAGGAGATTCCTGGACTATATTTGCTGTCCTTAATGTTACCATTCAATATCCTTATAATTTTCAGTCCAAAAAAGATGAAGCAATTCTTTTAGATCATGCAAACGGCAAATTTGTTTCAAGATCAAATTTTTTCTATGAAACTAATGTGCATCACACAAAGAATAAAAACAAGGAAACTTGCCATGGTTAACCCAATGATAAAAGAACTTTAATCAGAATGGTTGAAAATTAAGTTAATTGACCCAAGTCAAAATTTTGATGGTTTTTCATTGATGGACCAGCATAATCTTGATGATAATAATCAAAGTAGTATTTTCCATCATGGAATGATAAAAGTTTGCTGGCATATCAAAAACCAAGAAGACATAATTAAAATTGTTGGATGATTGTGACCATCAAATGATGTCGGACCATCACGAGTCGCATTGAAACCAACATAAACCATCAAAAGTTTTTGATGGACCATCAAGAATTTTGACTTGGGGGGCTAAAGAGTAAAAATTTGGTTTCAGTTTTCCGATGGCCAGTTCTATTCATTCATATTTCGTTTCAATACTTTGAAAATGTAATAATATTTTTCCTAATTAATTTTTTTTTGTGTTATACGAGAGCAATTCTTATTTTTTAAAATAGAAACTACCATTAAAAATTAGTTTATCAATTTTTGTTAAAACAATTGGTTTGTGCTTTTATTCATTTGGACATTCAATGATGCCTAAATTAGTCACCCCATTAAAATAATTCATATGACATTTGTAGGGAAATATTCATGCTTTGTTTACAATTGTTGTCCATTATACCTCTATAAAATGTTTTGCATATAAATAATAATAAAAAAAACAACAACATGTTTTTGCATTTACTCTTAGGCATGCTACACACTCTGAGGAGGCTAGAAAGAGGTAGACAGTTGACGAATTTCTATACTTTTATGCTAGGATGCGCAGAGGTGATGCTAATAAATGCTAATAAAAAAAGTATGGGAATCTGCCTATCGTATGTCTCTTACAATTTGCTTCTTCAGTGTGTGACCTGTCTATGTATGAGAGTTACTTTTGAATTACCTTTATTATAATTTTATTAACTTTGAATAAATATCAATATGTTTCATTATTCCTAAAGTGTAGATTAATTTAATTGTCATATTAATTCAAATAAAATAGTTTTCAAAATTAGAATTCTGCAAGTATCCTTTCTGACTAGACACGTTTCTTTAGAGAACGTATTACTTAAACTGTTCACTTTATTTCTCTAAATTCAATTGCTGCACGAGAGTATTGTTCCTAAAGTAGTTATTTGATTACTAAGAAACTGATGGAGTACATAGATTTCCAAAACTATAACTAAATTTATGAATAGTTTTAACTTTACTCTAAATCTGAATCCAGGTGGCCTACACATCCCTTCTTCCGTTACCTATGTCTCGGAAGTGAAATGTAAACTTTGTAAATAATACAAGGAAACGTTATTGCTAAAAGTACTACGCTATATTTATTTATTATTTGATTATAGGTAAGTTGTAAGCTAGATTTTATTAATATATTCTTTGAGTGCATGTAAACTGTAAGTTAGAATTTGTAGGGGCCTCCCTGGCCGAGCGGTATCGCCGGTCCAAACGCTCTGTTAAGCGTGGAGGTAGCGGGTTCGAATCCCGCCGTAACCCTGGATGTATTCTTTGTGATGTCTTTCTCTGAATTGTTCTATCTGTATTTTCTACTTGACAATGACTTATAAGCCTATATTGAGCACACAAGTCAGCAAATGTATGTAATTTCAATAAATAAATAAATTAGAATTTGTATCAACGGTTGCTATAGCTATACTATAGAACAAATTTTTTGTGTAAAAATAATGGCGTTAACAGTGTTATGTTTCCTGTCTTTTGTAAAATGGAGTCAGAATAATTTTATCTTAGTTAAATATTTTATTTTATATTAGTCGTTTAACTGCCAACGCAATTTTTTGGGTTGCACTAATATTCAATTCCGTAGCCATGTCATTTTGAACCCCACCCAGACGACAAAGGAGCTCCAGTATTAAGTATCAGGAAAAATTTGCTTCCGTTGAGGACTTTTTGATCGAACTAACCCGCATTTGCGTTATGTGGAGAGGAAACCCTCTCATGGGTAGTCTGACGGCAAGGGAACTCTAACCCATGATCTGTCTACCACCGAGGATATTTCAAAGCCAGCACTGTGGTCGGTTCAAGCTGGATGCGGAATTCGTATCGAAGCGCAATCGCTGGGATTCGAATCCGATTCACCTCATTGGAAGGTGAGTCATCACGACTCTTTTAGTTAAGTAGTAAGTTTTTAGTAGAGAACGACAGAATATTGCACTTTCAGATAGAGTTTCTTAACAGTTTTACACCCTCTGGTGTTAGTGGTCCGCTAAAACATTCTAAGTGGCATCATGAAATGTGNAAAAAAAAAAAAAAAAAAAAAAAAAAAAAAAAAAAAAAAAAAAAAAAAAAAAAAAAAAAAAAACATACGAACTTAACATATTGCATCATAAATAAGTCTTTATTCTCTGACAGATTATATATATAGATATACATAGAAGACGGAAAAAACTGGCAAGAAAAATCATTCCCATTAGAGCGTGTATACTGGAAAATACCCATAGCTGAGATTTTTTTTAAACATTTTTGCTCTTTTATTTGAGAAAAAGTAATTATTGATCAATAGTTAACAATAGTAGGAGCTTATTTTACATAATAAAAACCAGCTATAAAGGAAATGGTTTTAATCCCAATTTTTCCTCTATCCCGTCTTACTTTCAATGCCGGTTGTATATATGGCCGACTTGTTTTTCCGCATCCTGTATATAAAATCTTTTTTAAAACAAATTTATTATGCTAAAAAAATAACTAAAAATTATCAAACTGGTAGTAATATTTAGGCCAGTGTTAGTTTGTTAAATTTGAAAAAAAATATTATACCAATCCTTTTCATTCAGAAGATTTTTCTGTGTTTTAGAATAATTAGTGTAATAGAAGAATTGGCAGCATCTATAAGTCTTTATAAAAAGAACAATTTTTTCTCCTAAGTATTGAGTCTTAGAAAAATCAGGCTAACTAACGCAATATTTAAAAGCAGTGCAACAAGAATCATCAAAAAAAGCAAAGATATTTTTGGAACTGTTGGAGTGATTCTGACTGAGTTTTTCTTGAGGAATATGAATACCCGTTGCGGGATAGAAAGCAAAGAATTTTTAATTTTACCATCGACTCAAGAATTTTCGGCTGGTTAATTAGGTCTGATGTTATCGGGCGGGAAATCGTCTGAATAAATGGAATTTTTAGATTGTTGTTTTAGTTAAAAGTGGAAAAAAACTTCCTTCATATTTAAAAAAAAATATATATTTTATGTATTTTTTGGATCTTCTTTTTAACACTGGATACAGTATCAAACTATATTTCATTCGTTTTTTTTTCCACTTACTTTTTCTCGAATTTTTTCATACAGCTCTTTGAATTTCATACGAGCCATTTGATCCATTGAGTCATCCAAGTTTCGTTTTCCTGAAAGTGAAACACAGTAAACAAAATTGCTTGTGATTATGTACAGTGGATAATTTCTCGTTCTAGCTACTAACACTTTAATATTATGAAGTCAGTTTTATTTCAATAATGGTCTAGGGTTTTAGACTTGAACTTGTTTGACGCCGAACGCATTCACTACATTTTGAAAATGGCATTTGTATCAAAAAGAGAAATACTGGTATTTCAACTATGTTTTATTTCGAACTTGCAATGTCATCTGCACAAATTAATTAGAATATTTAAGTTTAAGCTCTCAAATATTAAAATGGAGTCCCAATACGTGAAAAAAATTATTAAACTAGTTTTGCTTTTTTTTTTTAACTTCAGTATACATCTGTCTTGAAATAATCTGGAATAACTAAGAAAATTTAAAAGAACAACATTCCTTTAAAAACGGAAAATTTATTCAGAACTAATTCCCTTCATATCAAAAGGTTGAATGTAGTTACTAAAAATAGAAATCATTAGAAAAGAGGATTAGCGATATTTTTTAAGAATTAAAAAGTTTTTACGAACTTATTAGGTTGATTATGAATGATTCTTTCGAGTTATGTTTGAAATATAAATTAAAACCTAAATGAATAAAAAATATTAAATTCGTGAAGAAAAGTTCTTGGAAAAGACATCTGACTAGCTTTCTGTAATCGGATTATATTTCTTAATTGGCATATAAGAATAAAATATTTAAGTAATAATCGATATGACTGAAATGTTTACTGCATAAAAGACTATAATTTTGTGTATGGCTATTTTTAATTCATTTAATTTTACGGATTACACATTTTATGTCACAAAATATAGAGTAGTGAGTTCCCCTAATGTGTGTTTTATTTTATTTCATGACCGTCCTTAAACAGCCGAATTAATTTTTTTGGGCTTACGACTCTCACTGTTCAACTCCGTAGCCTTGTCGTTTTGAACCTAATCCAGAAGACAAGGGAACTTCTGGATCAAGTTTTGGGAGAAATTGTCCTTCTTGGAAGACTTTTGGACGGAACTAATCCGCATTTGCGTTACACGAAGAAGAAAATCAAGTACAGTTAAGGAAACCATGTATTGACTGTTAATTGATGTAATTGAATGCTCTTTTTCTTAGCCTTACGCATTCAAATGTGTTGGCTGAAAAAAAAGTGTGAGAAATCATGGAGAATTTTATTGGAATCAAAACATCAGCAACCCTCTAACGGTGTTAATGTGTTAGGCAGAGGTAGAGGGAATCTCTAAAAATAAATTTTATTCCGCACTCCATTCAAGGTTGGGGTATTAAAAGATTATATTATTGATTTCTTTTTTATTGATGAAGGATTATATAAGAACATAATTCGTTTTTTAAAATGTTAGGAATCACGCATATTTCATAATGAATAATAATAATAATAATGAAGGTCTGGGATACGAACCGAGTCCTAATCTCTCTAGAATCTTTCGGAGTGCTTCTTTTGCCTTTTCTCTCACATTCCTCAACATTTCTTTCATTTTCTCTGTTTCCCCCTCTCCCAACTCACTCATTTTTTCTCTCAGCTCCTTCACCTGAAAACATAATTTTGACAGTACAATATTTAGATCATTTCAAGAAAAGGATTTGAAGACTAGAGTCATTTTTAAGATTAGGATTTTAAGTTCAAGATTATTTCAAAATAATAAATAGCTATTAAAAGTTTTTTTTTTTTACGTAGAATTATCTTTGTATAAATGAATTTTATAATTGCGTGTAAAAAGTTTTCAATTGACTTTTAAATTTCTCGAAATAGGGTGAAATACGCAAAAAGTAAAATGAACATTAAGGGGTAAAAACTTTGGAGCTCTCTTCTGACCAAACTATGTGGGATATTTTTCCCAAGTTGCGGCTAACCCCTATATTTTTGGGAGCCAGAAAAGGTACGTTTATTCAGAGAATGAACGCTTTTGTGTCTGAGTTCGTAACTTAAAATATCGTCTGCACTAATTAATTAATATACACAGTCCAGTCACATTAATGTGACCACCTGTCAAAAGCCAAAATAACCACCTTTGGCAGAGTGGATCGCTGTGAGAGGAAGAGAGTCAGCTAGGTTTCTGAAGGTGTTCACTGGGATATTGAGCCATGCCGACTTCAGTGCCATGGCCAGCTGCGCTAAATTACGCTGTTGAGGATATGTGGCGCGAGCAACCCGATAGAGGTGGTCCCACAGATTCTCGATTGGGTTTAAATCCGGAGAGTTTGCTGGCCAGGGAAGTACGGTAAACTCCTCCTTGTGCTCTTCGTACTACGCACATACACTGTGAGCTGTATGACACCTCGCATTATCCCGCTGGTAGATGCCATCATTCTAAGGAAAAATCATTCGCATGAAGGGGTGGACATGGTCCGCAAGGGCAGATGCGCACTAGTGCTGATCCATCGCTCCTTCCACAATGATGAGTGCACCCAGTGAATGCCAGTAAAACATTCCCCAAACCATAATGCTCCCTCCTCCAGCCTGGATCCTTTCGGCAATTGTTGCAGGGTGTTTGCTTTCAGACGTTTCATGCTGTATACGC